CAGAGAGTTGAGAATTAGAAAGTGCTTTATATCTCTGTCCAATTCACCTGGTGGAAGAGAGTCTTCCAGGACTGTAAACTGATTGGTCCATTTACCAGGTCCAGGGAAGGCAATGGTCTAGTGGTATTATCGCTGGACTGTTAATCCAGAGACCTGGATAACATTCTGGGACCCCGGTTTGAATCCCGCCATGGCAGATGGTGGAATTTGAATTCAATAAAAATATCTGGAATTAAAAACCTAATGATGACAATGAATCCATTGTTGATTGTCAGGAAAAACCCAGCTGGCTCACTAATGTCCTTTAGGGAAGGAAACTGCCATCCTTGCCTGGTCTGGCCTACATGTGAGTCTAGGCCGACAGCAATGTGGTTGATTCTGAACTGCCCTCTGGACAATTAGGGATGGGCAATCAATGCTGCCTAGCCAGTGATGTCCTCATTCCGTTAAAGAATAATAATAAAAAGCACTATGTGATCATTGGACCTCTGTAACCATCGGTGCATTTGTTCATCTAGCGTCACTAAAGTTCAGTTTCATTTCTGACCATTGGAATTGGGAGCTGACTAAAGCACAGGGATTTTAAAGAAACTTCTATCTGTAATATTCTGAGAGGTTTCCCCTGATGTTAGTGTGTGTGTGTTAGTCAAGTGAGCCAGCTCTCAGGAATGGGTATAGGGTAGAATCGGACTCTGCTTTTGTTGGTGATGTGAATTATAGACAGATCGTCTTCAGGTAATGCATGTTCAATGAATACCATGGGAATGTTTGTATCCTCCTGTCTGGGAGGACTACTATCCTGAGTATAGTGAGGGAATGGGGGTGAGTCTCTACAGACCTGAGTTCCCTCAGTCCATCATAGCTTGATGTAATAATGGTCAGATATGTTCACCTTACACTCTTCAAAGATTCATTTCATGCTCTGGGAAAGATCTTGAGTAATTTTCAAATGCTTTGTTAAGTTGCTTGGATGATTTGAAGGTTTGATGTACAGTGAACATTGTTTTGTTGTTTGTCTGTTGTTTTTTCAATCTTCTGTATAGATGTATATCTCACAATAAATTCATGTTTAGCTTAACCCAAGCAAATCAATTTCTTAGCCAGTTGTAAAATCCTGAAGAACTGCAGATGCTGTAAATCAGGAACAAAAACAAAGTTGCTGGAAAAGCTCAGCAGGTCTGGCAGCATCTGAGTGTAAAAACAGAGTTAACATTTCGGGTGCCGTGAACCTTCCTTAGGAGTTCTGAGGAAGGGTCACTGGACCCGAAACATTAACTCCTTTTTCTCCTTCACAGATGCTGCCAGATCTGCTGAGCTTTTCCAGCAACTTTGTTTTTGTGTCCTAGCCAGTTGTGTTTTTCACACCAAAACACTCAGGCTCCAAAACTAAGTGTCCTGTACACATATATTGGTCAGTGTCACTGTGAGCTGGGATACTTTATCCAGGCGTTCATAATTTCCGTTTCTCATGAAGCATCCACATTCCTAAGAAAGGAATTCTTGTATTAATATATCAACTTTCACAACCTTGGGGTATTAAATGTCTGATATCAGCATCTGAAGCTCCGCAATATTTGTGCACCACTAGATGCAATGTATCTGAGGACTGTATCCCATTATTGGTTGGATTCTGCTGTAAAACCCAGCATCTTGATGACATTAAGGTCAGTGATCCCGGAGTGTCTGAGTGACTGAGGCAGGTGAGTCTTGATTCTCATCTCAGTGTGAGAGTGATCAGTTAATCTGATACTCCAAGGACAGTCTAGACAAAATTTGACTGTGTATCTAACCCGTTCTGTACCTTTCCTGACAGTATTTAATGGGACAGTGTAAACATAGAGAGATTATTTCAAATTAATGTTAAATATGGAGAAGTTAATCCCTTAAATTAATATCTGAACTTCTTAAAAGTAATGAGGGTTGCTGTATCTATCACCCTTTCAGACAGTAAGTTCCAGATTCTCACTACCTCCTGAGTTAAAAAAGACTTTAAAACTCTGCTGCCTGGTTATTGACCTCACTGTTCAGTGAAGTAAGATTGAAACAATCCTATTAGTTGCCTCTGCCACTTCCCTCCCTTCCACTAACCCACCGGGACAAATTTCCATTTGTGTTACAAAATAAATTAAACTTTTGTGAGTTTTAGCACTGTTTCATTAAACATCAGCTAGGAAGTTGGTACCAATCACAGAAATGACTACAGCTACAGATGGGAATAGTGAGAGTGGTGACTTTCTGCTGACTGTGCCTGTTTGAGGCGGCCCTTCAATTTACACTCAGAGTTTTTGGGTGTTCATGCACCAACAGTCAGACATATTCAAGACTCCAGTCTACATGCTGTGGACAGCAATTATTTCAGCAAACTACAGGCCAACAGATTGTAGTTTATTTCAATTGTGTCTTAGGAACAGGACAAACAGCTAAGAATGCTTTAATGTAGTAATAACTACAAAGATTCTATTTTGTATTTTCACTTACATGGTTTGAGATGCAGCACTTTCTAGCCCTCTCATCATTAATAATGCTGGTGGAGGAGAGCTAACAGAGAGAGAGAGACAGAACAGGGGTGAAAAAGGAGATTGAGGAGGGAGGAGAGTTAGGAAACGGGATCATGTGGAAGAAGAGAGAGAGCGGAAGTAGGTGGGAGAGGAAGGGGAATATAGAAGAGTTAATTGATACACACCCCCCCGCCCAATTCTCAGTCTTTTCTCCTGTGCCCTTCCTCCTCTGACCCCCACCATTACATATCATCACTGCCTTGGATCCTGTGAGTCTTCCTATTGAATTAGCTTCATTGTCACATGTACTCACATGAATACAGTGCGAAAGTTTACAAGTCGCCACTTATGGCACCATCTTAGATATGTCTTAGATACATAAGTACAGAATCTTAGTTACAAAGCAGAAAAATAAGGAAAACAAAGTTTAAAAGTTAAATATTACAGTCCTTCTTACCAAGTTGAAAAACAAAGAAACAAAGTTAACACCACAGTCCATAAGCACTTAGCCACGCTGGACACCCTACAAGGGTTCGACATCCCCCATTTTGGGCTTGACCTCACCTTGCAGCCTGATCCCGCTCTTGCCACTGGCCGCCTTGTGTAGCTTGATCCCACTAGTGCCACCTACATTTGCCGTGGCCTCAAAGAAGAAAAAGATGAAGATGAAAGAGAAAAGAAGAAAGAAAAGGATAAAGAAGGATGTGGCCAGCCTGGTGCTGAGGAGCAGATAGGTTCATGAGCCAGATGCTGCCTGCTCTGCCATTGCTGCCATTTTAAATGGGCAAATCTGATCTGCTATCAAACACATCCAACACTATACATCCCACACTGATGTTGTCAGTTTGAAAGCCTCGGAGGAAGAACAATGCTATTCCCACACTAGAAATTTCTGTCAAACCAAATTGGACCAAAGGGTCTGTTTCTGTGCTGTTTGACAATTATTATATTCTTCTATTATTTTATTGACTCTATAAACCAGGGGAACTGAGACAGCAGCTGCAATAAGTGAGGTTTTATTCAGATGGGACAATGACAAGTTTAAATCTCCACCTGATTTGCTGCTCAAAGTCACCTCCATTTCACCGGTCAGTTTCCCAAGCTTCAGGAAACTCATGTTGCTGCAGAAATATTTGGATTGACTGTGAG